GTTTCGAAGTTAGTTTTCTGATAAAGCAACGAATTATCGCTTTGGGAAGTGCGGTGAGGCGCGTATGCATTTTCATATATATGTACATATGTGGAGCCTGAGAAAACTGCGGTTTTCAATTAGTGCGCAAAATTGCATTGCCTCAACTTCATACTTGAAATAATATTAAACACAAAATTCAATTTAAAAAGTAATAAGCAAAAATGAGGAAATAATTAATATATAAAAAAAAAAAAAATAGAAACAATATATGCATAAATTAAATAGTAGGTACTGTAAATGAAGTGAATGTATTTTAGCCTATCCTTTGAAACTGTATAAAAGATATAAATGCAATGTTAGGGTTAATTTTACGAACTCTTCCCGTTGTTGAAATTTGTCGAGTGCCAGCTATGTCTAAATATCGCAACAGCGATTTAACAATTTTCAAACGAACGATGGCTTGCTAAAAATGCTTAGAATCTAAGTGGGACATAAACCGAAATATATATACAAACCAGTCAATATATCCACAACGTTCTAAATTTATTATGGTATCACCACTCAAATCGAGTCTTGGTAATGGTTACCCGAAAAAAATATAAATATTTGAACTTATGGGGGTAAGGATTCATTAACATATTTTTATTGGCGTAGATACCGCTTACGCCGTTATAGCAGAGTTTACAACAGTGCGCCAGTCGTCTGTTCTTTTCGCTGTTTGTTGTTTGGCGCCGATTGGAGATTCCAAGTCTGCTTTCCCGGCGGGTATTGCGTCGAAAACTTTCAGAGCTGGAGTATTTTCGTCCATACATGACCTAGTCAGCGCAGCCGTTGTTTCTTAATTCGCTGTACTATGTCAATGTTGTTATTTATCTCATATATCTCATACAGCTCATTGTAGCCAATGCGCAAAGTACTACAAATCATCCGCAGAACCTTTCACCATCAGATGTTGTCATCGTCCATGCCTCTGTGCCATATAGTAGGACGGTAAGTGACTTATAGATGATAAGTGACTTGTAGAGTTTGGTCTTTGTTCGTCGAGAAGCAGATCTACAGCTCGATTTATTTTCTTCAGGTGTAGGTTGAAGAAGTCACACGAAAGGGAGTCTTGGAGTTTGATATCGAACGGCTCGAAGAGATCGTTCCCGATCCTTATGACGCTTTTAGTGCTGCTCAATGTCAATTTACACAGCCGTCTTAGTTTTGCGTGGATATAAAATGCAGACATCACGCCATAACCCTTGCCGTACTCTTCCTTCTACTGGTTTAATACCTTTTTGAGGGCTATGAAAGATACATACAATGAATAATTGACAACGTACACATTTAGCTGATCTTCTAGAATGAAAGCCGGCCTTTTCATTTCTAAATGCATCTTCGAGTCTCGTAGATACTCGATCACTGAGGGGCAGTATCAGAAAGGCACTCCATGCAGTGTCTAAGGTCATCAATTCTGCGGATATTTTGTTAATTTTTTCGCTTTAATGTATTTCATAGAGCTTATAGCAGAGTTGGAACTCCCTCTGAAGTGATCAACGTGAACCAGCCCAATTTTTGAGACATCGACCTCAAATTTTGCACTGTGTGGATCTTTATATGTTAGTTACCGAGGTTACCGTCTTTTTCTTGTTTTTTAATATCTTTCGAAACCCCTGTGCTTTGTAAATGAAACCATGGAATTGTTGTTCTCTAGCAGTGACGATTTAATCAAACATTTACATTTCAAAGAATTTCTAAATATATACATATATGAACACATCAACTCCTTAATCCTTAGGCATAAAGATAAAACAGCTACAGTCCAACACAAGCATTCCTCGTTATAATTTGTAAAAACTAAAGTAACTGGTTCCTGCGGTGCGGTTTGTAGACAAATCGAAAAGCCATTGAATTGGATGATTAATCAAGATTCACAATCGRAAAACAAAGCAAACACAGCCAATAGGAAATAAAGAGATTTGGACAGAAAAGGAACAATCAATGGCAATAACAGGCAATCAAAGTGTGACAGGAAATACAGTGACCAYCGAAATGAGCCAAAGAAGTGTATGCATATATAGTATATGTATATGTATGTGTATATCTGTGGATGTGTATGTGTAGCCTATTAACGTCGTTTAATTGCATTTGATTGCAAGAATACGTTCCCAGCTCGTTGACGACCCAATGCACAAACAAAAACAGAAGCAACAAACACATGTACGTACTAAAGCCTCCACCGACGACTATGAATTGATTATTTCTCTCAAAGTTGCAGGTCCTTAGTGGCGCTATAGAACACCACCCAAGGTTTGGAAACGTGATTTTTAAACTTTGCTATTTTTCTGTTTTAAAATATATATTTTGCGCTTTGTTGTTGCTGAAACGCTGCAACATTTTTACTTTGCTTGTTTTTGTTTATAATTTTAATGTTTTTTTTTGTGTGTTTGGCCTTCTCACTCACAGTTGGCTGTCAAATTCATGCACAACATGTTGCCGTTTCGTTAAAATAAGCGCTTAACGATATTTATGGGCCCTGAAAGTCCACGCTCAATTTGCAACACACGACAGCAGCAACGGCGACGAAGTGCTCTAACTAGTTGGTGGCTCTTCTGCAGTTCTCTTGYTATGAAGCAGTTCTTGTTCGTTGTATACCCATAACAGGGTATACATTTTGGAGAATATATAAAATGTACTTAGAATTGATCAGTGTGGCGAGCTAAGTTGATTTAGCCATGTCTATACACGAACTAATCCCTTCGCTTCACTTCCTTTTCACTCTTCCTTTTCTCACCGGGAAGCTTTCATATGACGAAATCGCCGATATCGAACGACTATAGCATATAACCGTTGTTTGGAAAACTTTTTTATTTGAAATGTACCTTCGAAATTTGACACAGATTTGTTCAATTGTTTCCAAAGCCAATTTAAATTTTTAATCAATTTACCAGATCGAACTACTGTATTTATATATAGCATGTAGCTGCCCCACACACTGAGCGATCAAAATCAAGTAATAGCAAGGGAGTTCTAGATTTGGTGAAACCGAAGTTAAAGTTTTTACTTTTTTTTGGTTTTTTTCCGCAATTTGAAGACATGCCCTGACGTGCTCGTGTCGGCTGATGATGTGTTGAAAACTTTGCCAGCGTCACTTTACTTTGAGAAATCCAAACAATCAACAAGTTGCTGGATTTTAAGCCTAATACATTCTGTGTGTGTGTATATTTGTAAGTGTAACGTTTTTTTAATTTTTTACTGACGCGGAACAGCTTTTTCACTGCCRTGTACTTCGCGACAGAAGCCAACCACCGGATTGATTAACATGCTGAACAACTTCATCTCATGTGACCGTGTGTGTGTTGCTGTTGTTTTATGCAAAATGTCCTCTCCGGTCAATGTTAGCGTCTAAAAGAAATGACTATTATTCTCGGTGGTGTTATTAGGATCAGATCGCTGGTTAAGCGGTTGTTGTTGATAAGATCATACAGTGTGGTTACCATAACGAACGGCGTAATTGAGACAATTCAGAAAGCGAAAAACAAAAATCAAAAGTCATTCCATTTAATTCCTTTGCTTTCTCTACCAATTGAAATTTTTGGTTTTTTACTTTTGTTTACAAATACCTAAAAAATACAAAAAATAAAAAAAATAGCAAAACTATAATAATCTATGGAGGCATTAATGTACATATGTACTACTGTGACTAATTGAAAAGTGAAATTTGTCCATTTCATTTAATTTTCTTCAAAGTAATCCCCTCCCGTTGCAATATACTTATGCCAACGAATTTTCCGGTGATATAAGTATAGCACTTGGAAAAATCCTCCTCCGAGCCTTTTTCAATTCAGCTTTTATATTCTCAATTGAATCAAAATGGTGTCCCCGGAGTGGTCATGTGAATTTGCTGAATAGCCAGAAGTTATATGTCCAGGAAAACCTGTTTACGGTATTATTAAAAAAAAAATCGTAAAAATAATGGCTATACTTTTCCACATATAGTGAGCGGCAATATGATGCACGTAACGCGACTGATCGATTTATTATTGGAAAATAGTGTGAACCTCGAGAACTGAAAAGAAGTTTGTAATAAAAGAAAGTTGTAAATTCAACTGTCAATGAATTCAAAGATTTATTTACAATAAAAACGTGAAAACGCATTTTGTAATGTTTATCATGTTTTATAAGACTGTTGTCTGTTCTTTTAACTCGTGGAATAACGAAATGATGCCACAAATCGAAGAAATAGAAAAACATAAGGGATGTGCTAATTATTTGTATATTTTTCATTCAACTTCATTTCAAAGCAATTCGTTAGATTATATAGTCGATACGCTGAGCTGATTTCCATGAAAAGTTATTTATTTTTTTTATTTAAATTCTACATTCATAATAAAACTGCCGAACTGAACTTATTAAAATAAAACAAAAA